CCCATGAAATTATTCCGTCTGGCTTGCTGAATTTTAAGAAAACGTGAGAAATTTCAAATGACCGTCAATATTATGGACTGATATTTTGAAAGTCAAAATCGTGATTCGTGATCAGAAGGTTTTTGCATCATTTTCAATGTTTCCACGAAAAGTGTGATAATGCACTGAGCTGAAATTTCAACTGATCTGGTTGTGAACATTCTTCTTTGGAGTTTGAGAAGTGTTATAATTGGAACGAGCGAAATGCGTGTATAGTACAAATGATCCTCAGGGAGGCATGGCCCCTTGTTTCGCTTCACCAATGTAAAAACAACTAGAGATGAGTTTGTGGACAAACACAAGCTGTTTCGGATATTCGAAATACTCTGTGCACGTCATGAACAATCACTGACGTCACTAAAAATGTCATCTATAACAGCATATTATACGTACATGTCAAGTTATAACCAAATCGAAAATGTAAGTCTGTAAATATAGGCCTATAAAGAACAAAATGCACCTTTAAGGGACGTCACATGACATTTGATGATGACATCACATGAATTTGTCTATAACCCATCTCGGCATTGGTACGATCACGAATTTCTTCTAGGACCATCTGTGGGTGATAGTCTAAGTGTGTACCAGGTCTAACGTCGATCGCATAATTTACAAAAGTGCAAAGTAGAGTGTTTTTAAAACGTGTACAAACCCTATGGGGAAAAATGCATCTTTAATGTGACGTAACCCAACACCTGATGACGCCACGATCACAAATTTCTTCTTGGACCATCTGTGGGTGGTGGTCTAAGTATGTATTAAGTCTGAGGTCGATCGCATTTATGAAGGTGCCAAGGTGGAGCGTTTTAAAACGTGTACAAAACATATAGGGAAAATGTGCATCTTTAATGTGAAGTAACGTGACACCTGATGACGTCACGATCTCGAATTTCTTCAAGAACCATCTGTGGGTGATGGTCTAAGTGTGTACCAAGTGTAACGTCCATCGGATTTACAAAAGTGCCGAAATGGAGCGTTTTAATACATGTACAAACCCTATGGGGAAAAATGCATCTTTAATGTGACGTAACCTGACACTTGATGACGTCACGATCACGAATTTCGTCTAGAACCATCTGTGGGTGGTGGTCTAAGTATGAATTAAGTTTAAAGTCGATCGGATTTACGAAAATGCCAAACTGGAGTGTTTTAAAACGTGTACAAAACATATGGGGGAAAATGCATCTTTAATGTGACGTAACCTGACACCTGATGACGTCACGATCACAAATTTCTTCTAGGACCATCTGTGGGTGGTGGTCTAAGTTTGTACCAAGTCTGAAATCAATCGGATTTAAAAAAGTGGCAAAGTGGACTGCCAGAAGAAACGTGTGTTAAACCTATGGAGAAAAAGTCTGAAAAAGGAGAAAAAAAAAAAAAGAAACTAGAGATGTGTTTGTGGACAAACACAAGCTGTTTCGGATATTCGAAATACTCTGTGCATGTGATGAACAATCAGTGACGTCACTAAAAATGTCATCTATAACAGCACATTATACGTACATGTCAAGTTATAACCAAATCGAACATAAAGGTCTGTAAATATAGGCCAATGAAGAACAAAATGCCCCTTTAAGGGACGTCACATGACATTTGATGATGACATCACATGAATGTTCATCTATAACCCATCTTGGCATTGGTACGATCACGAATTTCTTCTAGGACCATCTGTAGGTGGTAGTCTAAGTGTATACCAGGTATAACGTCGATCGCATAATTTACAAAAGTGCCAAAGTAGAGTGTTTTAAAACGTGTACAAACCCTATGGGGAAAAATGCATCTTTAATGTGATGTAACCCAACACATGATGACGTCGCGATCACGAATTTCTTCTAGGACCATCTGTTGGTGGTGGTCTAAGTATGTATTAAGTCTGAGGTCGATCGCATTTATGAAGGTGCCAAGGTGGAGTGTTTTAAAACGTGTACAAAGCATATACGGAAAATGTGCATCTTTAATGTGAGATAGCGTAACAACTGATGACGTCACGATCACGAATTTCTTCTTGGACCATCTGTGGATGGTGGTCTAAGTATGTATTAAGTCTGAGGTCGATCGCATTTATGAAGGTGCCAAGGTGGAGTGTTTTAAAACGTGTACAAAGCATATAGGGAAAATGTGCATCTTTAATGTGAAGTAGCGTGACAACTGATGACGTCACGATCACGAATTTCTTTAAGGACCATCTGTGGGTGATGGTCTCAGTGTGACCAAGTGTAACGTCGATCGTATTTACGAAAGTGCCGAAATGGAGCGTTTTAATACATGTACAAACCCTATGGGGGAAAAATGCATCTTTAATGTGACGTAACCTGACACTTGATGACGTCACGATCACGAATTTCGTCTAGAACCATCTGTGGGTGGTGGTCTAAGTATGAATTAAGTTTAAAGTCGATCGGGTTTACGAAGATGCCAAACTGGAGTGTTTTAAA